CTTCCTAGTGGAACTTCCCAAAGTTCTTCTAAGATCGTTGTCTATCACCTACTTGTAGATGGATTAAATGTGTCGTACACAATCGGTTGCCAAGGCGACGTGGTTGTGAGAAAAGTGGAGCTTGCATCACCCAGCTGAATAGGCCAAATCAGGGTAACTTGTCTTTTTACTATGTAGGGAATTCTCACTCAAAACTAAACTGCCTTGTATGGAGCTCGATCTCCTTACATTTCTTATTCATCTTTCTCTTGACAAAAGGTGTATGGTTGAAATTGAGACAAGCATGCTGGATAGAATCTTAATTGTGAGTTGTTAGATGGTCAGTGAAATAGTTTTGGTTTAAAATGTGTGGCTATCTGCTGATGAGTGATTGTTTGACTTTTGTACCACATTCTTAAAGAAGAAAGGGAAATGTTTTGAAGTCTATACTCCAGAAGTATGAACTGTTACCACGAGTGACTAAGTCACATCGAACTGAACTGATGCAGCTTGGATCAACTAAGATGAAAACAAAGGATCTTTTGGACGTGGTTCCAGTTCACATGAGGCATTAATCCATGGTTTGGTTTGGGCTTTGTTGGTTTTTATTTTTCATTTTTGAAGCATATACTGATATCTTTAAATGAAAAAAGCGCAGGAATTTAATGTCAACTTGAGAGGCTTTAATATGGAGTTTCACCGGTATGTTTGGGGTATTAAAAACCTTCATTTATGATTTACCTAATTGTGAATGTGTTAGCTTAATCCACCAAGTTGAACCGTATGTCAGATTCTTATCATTATTCTTGGGCCACTGCATTGATGGCAAGATAAATTCAAACTAATTGCAAATGCAGCTATTGACAATATGGCTCTATTTAAGTCTCAATTTAAAATGGTAAATTTATATATCATACTCTAAGTGATTGCTTAGAGACTTTAGCATATGATCGTAGGTTGTTTCCCTCTTGATTTTTTATCTTAACACCCCAAAAGTCTCTGTATAAATGATCTCGGTCGGTATTTAAAATTTTCCTAGGTTGTAAAATAGTGATTGAAAATGACTTAAAACTTTTAAAATTGTAGTCGATAAAAGTGATAGATTTCAATTATGCTCTAAAATTTTAGGATATCTTTTATTGAGTGGTTTCATTAATTTTAGAGATAGAGACGAATATAAAACATTAAAGAATATTAATCCCATTTGAAGGGACATCGTACATACTTTTAGAGGAGAGGAGAATGAACCGGAAGATTATAATAAAATATTATTTTCTCCTCTCACAAATCAAATCAAAACTTTTAAAATTGAGAAGAGCATAAAATATTAGAGTTTTTATGTCTTAATTAATTGATGAAACTTGAGGATAGCACAGCACATGAATTGAGAACAATAAAGAGACAAAACAAATAAAACCAAGACGAAACAATGGATTTTGAATCACTACACTACTTAACCATGACTGAATATGTGATTCATTAAGAAGAAACAATGTCCAACTTACCATATTTGGTGGATGCACGTCTAGCTGAGGATGTCTGTGACATCTGCCAGCGCAGTCCCCGTGAACATCGACTTCCCGGTGGAAAAAAACCAGACAAGAACAAACCCAAGTCCCCATCACCGACGCCACTGTTTTATTACCCACAACCCTCCAACCTCCCGCTTTTAATCCTACTCACCTAATCTCTCTACTCAACTCCCAAGGGGACCCTCTTCAGTCTCCACACCCTGCAATCCTCCCCTGTTTCCCCCACAGTCTTCCTCCCATACCATCTTTCATTTGATTTCTCTTTCGTTTTTTCAACAACACTTTCTTGCTTCCATTCACTCGACTGCGCAAATTTACTTGGACATTGGATTTCCCATTTCCCATTTCCCAAACTGTATATCTAACTTCAGGAAATGGATCATTCCAGAGACGGTGGCGACCAGGTTAGTATAGCAGCTCGCTCCTCGTTATTCGACTCACTGAAAGGATGCGGCCTGTCGGGGATCCCAATCGACAAACAGGAGCTCAATACAAAGGTTATGATGCCGCAGTATCTCCGCTTGGCCTTGCGTGATTCTATCCGCTTAAAAGACCCTACTACAGGAGCCTCTGCCTCTGTTCCACTGCAAAATATAGTCCCGCCACTGCCAGAGGCTCCTTTGGTGGTCTTCATTAATCCGCGTAGCGGCGGCCGCCATGGCCAGAAACTCAAGCAGCGCCTCCAGCAATTAATCAGCGAAGAACAGGTCCACCCAAAAAATGCTTTCCACTTTCTGTGAAAAACATCGAGATTCCCATACGTTTTCTTCTTTTCATGTGTGTCCTGTACGTGTCATCTTTGGAATTTTCTCTTTGTTTGTGTTGTAGGTTTTTGATCTTTTGGAAGTGAAGCCTCATGAATTTGTACAATATGGACTGCGCTGCCTGGAAATCTTGGCTGATCAAGGTGACATCTGTGCTAAACAAACTCGTCAGAGGATGAGGGTCATGGTATTTTGATATTTCCAATAACCCCAGATAAAAAGATTGTTGCTTTTCTTTTGCTTTACATATTTGGAATCTAATGGAACTGGTAGCGCAGGTTGCAGGAGGCGATGGTACTGTCGGTTGGGTACTGGGAAGTCTAGCAGAACTTTACAAACAAGACCGCAAGCCTGTTCTTCCTGTTGGGATTATCCCTCTTGGTACTGGCAATGATCTTTCCAGGAGTTTTGGTTGGGTAAGCTTTTGTAGTTTCATCTCGAAATTTTGCAGGAAGGTATCACTCGTATTAATGGATATGGATCATTGGTTTTTATCAGGGAGGTTCATTTCCTTTTGCCTGGCAATCAGCTGTTAAAAGGTCTCTCCACAGGGCTACCACTGGCCAAGTTGGTTCTTTGGATAGGTGGGAATTCGAGTTCTTTCATGATATTACCTTTTGTTTTTGGTTTTTGGAGCTGTTTCAAACTTGATTCTCATGATGTAGTTGGCATGTTTTGCTGTCGGTGCCTGCTGGGGAGAAAGTGGAACCACCTCATTCTTTGAAGCTTACAGAAGAAAGTGATCTGAATGAGGCTGTGCGTGTATATACTCTTTCGCTCTAAAATTCTAGATATACATAGAGTTTGAACATTGCCCATCTTGGATCATATTTTCATTCTCATTTCAATTCATTATACCCCTTCCATGGCTGCAGAAACTGGACGAAAAAGGAGATTTACCAACAAAACTGGCTTCCTATGAAGGAGTATTTTATAATTACTTCAGCATAGGTAAGCTGAACTCACTGGTGAAGTAAAACTTTAAAAAAGTGTGTTTATTGCACTGAATTTCTTGGTTCAACAAAGATGAGTGTGTCTTGAACTGACCGAAAACGGTCCAAGCTTATCGCTAGCTGATATGGACTTTGAGCTTTCTCTTCTGCGCTTCCCCTCAAGGTTTTAAACTGCACTCTTGCAAGGCTCAACGAATTTGAGAGGTTTCCACACCCTTATAAAATTTTTGCGTTCCCCTCTCCAATGGGTTTGAGCCACTACAAATGGCATCAAAGTCAGTCACCGGATAGTGAGAGGCACTGGTCGGAGTAGTGCTAGACTCTCTCCATAGTAGACACGTTATAAAATGTCGAGGGGTAGCTCGGAAAGAAAAGCTCAAAGAGGACAATGTCTGCTAGCGGTGGACTTGGGCTAATAGAGTTGCTCCATGGAGAGTTAGATTGATATTCAATCATTCAGCTCTAATTCTTTAAGAACTAATCTACTTGCTTCTTCAGAAAAATCATTAGCAGGCTCTGCAGAGTATTTCACAGGCTATTTAACTGATTCAGTGAATGCATAACCCAGGAATGGATGCTCAAGTTGCTTACGGCTTCCATCATTTGCGTAACAAAAGACCATACCTTGCTCAAGGTCCACTTACAAATAAGGTTGAACTTACCTGCTTAGACCTTAAACAAAAATATTATTTCACGATTAGTGGATGTTTACCAACTTACACGTGCATTCTTTTATATGTGAAAGCTGATCTACTCTAGTTATAGTTGCACTCAAGGTTGGTTCTTCACTTCCTGCTCAAACGATCCAAATTTGAGGTGATACTTCATATCCAATAAAATCCCAGTAGAACACATGTTTTTGCAGTTTCTAAGAACAAAAAGCCTCTCTGTTTGTAGGGGCCTTAAGAACATCGTTAGAATACATATCAAAAAGATAAATTGCTCAGAATGGGAAAAGATTCCAATTCCTTCCAGGTAGAACTGTTCTTGGTGAAACTTGTATAGTCTGTCACTCTTACTGATCCTTTGTTGCGTGGGCTGTTGTGTAGTGTTAGGTCTATTGTTACTTTAAACCTTCATAACTATGCAAGCGGAAGAAACCCATGGGGTAAGCCCAAGCCACAGTACTTGGAGAAGGTACCCACTATGAAGCTCTGTGTGGCTGTTTTCTCTTGTCTATGCTATTATGCTTTATTGACTTCTGATCTTTATCTGGTGCTAGAGAGGCTTTGTGGAGGCGCATGCTGATGATGGTCTTCTAGAGATTTTTGGCCTTAAACAAGGATGGCATACATCGTTTGTTATGGTAGACATAATCTCCGCCAAACACATCGCCCAGGTACTTCAAACACCTAGGAATCACGAAGTCCACTTTGAGCATAAGCTCTCGTGGTTTTGCCTCATACCAATATAGATCTATTCCTTACTCATAAATTTACGATCTAACGCCTTAGTTAGCCGACGTGGAGACTCATCTCCCAACGGTAACAACTCGACTTAAATAGCCACCATGATTCTTGCTTCTGAAGTGTTGCATACTATTTTTCAGGCAGCAGCCATTAGAATAGAAATCAGAGGTGGGAAGCGGAAGAAGGCATATCTGCAGATGGATGGGGAGCCATGGAAACAGCCAATCAATAAGGACTTCTCAACGTATGTTGAAATCAAGAGGGTTCCTTTTCAATCACTAATGATCAACGGGGACTAAAACTTTCCTCTTCAGTTTGCTCGCTGAGTGGATTTTTTTGGCTGATGTATTTACGTTCAAAATATTCATTTGCAACAAAAGCTTAGATTATTTTCAACGAATGTGTACTTTACAGAGAGATTATTCAATGATATACAGTAATCAAGTAAGTATAATTACCCTGCATCAAATTATAGAACTAATTGGCAACAGTATTCATGGAATCGACATTATGGTCGGGAACAGTCTGCGGTGTCGTTGTTTCTTCTGCTGTTTCAGGAACAGAGTGTACTCTGGATTGTCTTGTTCGCGGAGAAGAAGAGTGGAAGTGTTCCTGGCAAAAAAGCTTGCCCATTTCAACAAATTTGGAGGTGAGTGGAGACTGGACGCTGCCGGAGTCCGGCCAACGTGTGATAAGGAACTGGGCCAAATATATTAATAACGAAGACCAGGCAGCAACTGCCGTAATGATGAACAACCCACCAAATCTGTAAACATCCAGAGCTGAATCGTTGGGTTCTGGTTTTGGTGGTTCTTGATTTGAGAAGTATTTCTGCTCAATTGTGCGCATTTTGTCTTGATCTTGGGTCACGTTCAGTATTGCCCTCGAAAAGTCAGCCACCAGAGGGGATCCTTTCGGGAAGGCCTGGATTAATTTTGATAGAACCCAGAAGGCAAAATCGTGAAAATTACGCTCTTAACAGAAGTAAGTTCAAAACGAGAGAGAGAGAAGGCGAAAGAACTCACGAATCCAAAACCACCGGTGCTGTAAATAGGTCCGACCATTTGATAGCCGGAAGAATATTTCCGAAGAAAGACCTTAATGTAAGGAATTTCGTCAAAAATGGCAGCAACTCCACCATTAAAGCTTCCTCTGTTCAGGGCTAACTTAAACTCGTCGGAGCTTCCGCAGGGTATCAGCTTGGTTTCATCAAATCCAAACCGAGTGATTAGAAAATCTCTCACAAAGGAACCGTTCTGAAAACCCACGAAGTAACCCTTCTCTCTGATCTCCTTAACATCGACAAAGGAAGGATGGAGCCTTTGCACCGTCAACATGGATGATAAGTTCGCGGTGTAACTTTGGGTCAGGATTAGCACCACAAAAACCCATATGATCATCAAAAATCTGGATAAGTTGTTCAATATCCTCTCCCCTAAAACAAATCAATTTACACGCACCCATTAAAGGAGTGAAAAATTAAGTTATGAGTAAGAGTAGTATAGTAGAGTACTGACTGTGAGCAAAGACGAGCGTGGAGAAGCTGAACCAGAAGATGAGGCCGATTTGTTGTTGGGCTGGGCCTCTTCCGAAGTCAGTGTTGACACGACATTCCAGTAGCCAAACCACAAAGCCTGTAAACATGAAGGAGAAGAAGGAAAGTAGCCATAGATCCCATGTAAATGGCTTCATGAATATCCACATGTGTTCCTTCTTATCGCTTGTTGCAGAAACCAGCATTGACACCCCCGATGCAGAGTACGGCAGAGTGAAGTCGACGAACTCCGACCGACTTGCAACTATTGTTATGTCTCCAACAATTGCATCCACTTTCTGAGCCTCAATCTGGCGCAGAAGCTCGTCGTAGGACCCATTACTTTTCCCAATTTGGTTTACGAAAGGGACGAACTCGTAATCTATGTTCATGTGTGGTACTTCAATTGCAAGGCGGAAGACGTCGATGCAGAATCCGGACGACTTCTGGGGCTCGTTTGTGTCCGCGTTTACAAACTCCGGGAATCCTTTGATTGGAATTCCTATACTCAATTTCATCTTGGGTTGTTCGGCCGTGGGTCCGGGCCAAATGGGTTGCTTCAGTTGGTTTTTTGAATTTGATATTGCAACTTCAGGCCGGACTCCTCTGCCTCCTTTCTGGCTCCAGTATCCGATGATCCGCTCCTTCTCGCCCACCAGATTGAACACTTCAAAAGTTGGTGGGTTTAGCTCTCCGTCGACCAAAATGAAAACTCCACTAATGCCTTCAATTTTTGTGTTCCTAATTGCATCCCGAAGACTTACCCTCATCGCGCGTCTATCAGTTGCAGTTGCAGTTGCTGAGATGGTGGCATTCAATTTCTCCACCGCCGTGCCCAACGCCCACATCGTATCGTACGCCTGCACTGCAAAAAGATTGAGCGATGCTGTTGTTGCACACGCATCCCCATTTTTTGTCATTACATTTCAACGACAGTATTAAATCACGCAAAAATCCAACAAATTAAGCTTGTCACCAACTTACACGTTTTAAACTTTTATCATAATTTTCACTTGTTTTGATTAAAAGTTTAACTCAAAATTTCCAAAAATATTATTCTTCAAATTCTAAAATATATATTTACAATTCTAGCATTTACGATTTCGATCTCCAAACTCTTACGAGTCTATTTTAACCACTAATTTTTTTCTAAAAAAAAAATAATTACTTAGTAGAATGGTTGGGAGAGTAATCTCACGAAGGAAAATATCATAATAAAGGGTATATTTTGTCCAGTCGAGCCTCAATTAAGGAGAGGTTATTCAAGGGCTCGAGATAGTTGAGCCTCAGTTAAGGAGGGGCTGTCTGAGGGCTCGAGATAGTCGAGCCTCGATTAAGGAGAGGCTGTTTGAGGGCTTGAGATAGTCGAGTCTCAATTAAGGAGAGGTTGTTCGAGGGCTCGAGATAGTTCTTCGATTAAGGAGAGGGTATTCGAGGGCTCGAGATAGTCGACCCTCAATTAAGGAGAGGTTGTTCGAGGGCTCGAGATAGTTGAGCCTCAATTAAAGAGAGGTTGTTCGGGGGCTCGAGATAGTCGAGCCTCGGTTAAGGAGAGGCTGTTCAAGTCGAGCCTCAGTTAAGGAGAGGGTGTTCGAGGGCTCGAGATAGTCTAGCCTCGATTAAGGAGAGGTTGTTTGAGGGCTCTAGATAGTCGAGCCTCGATTAAGGAGAGATTGTTCGAGGGCTCCAAATAGTCTTTAGTAGAGGCGGTATGATATACTTTATTCAAGGAGGATTGTTGAAGATTATCGAAAGAGAAGTCTCACATCTACTAATTAAGGAGTTCACCATAAATTTATAAATAAGGAATACAAATTCATGGTTGATGGACAAGAAAGAAAAGGAAAATCTTCAAAATTTAAAAATTAACTATTATTTATCCAACTAATATTCACTTAATCAATGCTTTATGAAGAGAGTGGATGGTGCAGAGACAAACCTAAAGGAAATGGAAGTTGTTGGTTGAAGGTTGCTTGAAATTGGTGAAGCTTTTGGGTATTTGGTATGTATGGCCTTACGCCCACAATCCCTTGCATTGCGTCAAGAGCTTGGGGATCCGTGATTGGATGAAGCAAAGAAGAAAGCCCATCTGTCACAATCCATGCATACCCATCACTCATCATTCCCTCCTCCTTGGCCTCAATTAAAACCCTCCGCCCAAGGGAAGCACTCATGTGAAGAAGGAACACCCTCATTCTCCGCCTCAAATTCTTCACCCTCCTCAGCTCCTCACCAATTTCCCTCCCACTCCCCCTCCCAGGGATCCCCGTTCTCTCAATCAATCGGGTGCCGTTTTCTTGCAAGGCGTCCGCTAGATCTGGGATGATGCCACGTCCATATTCTGTGTCTTCGTAAATTAGAACTATCTCTCGCCACCCGTACAGTGTTGAGGATTATTGGGATTGGGAGTGTCCCACATTGGTTAATTTAGTGGAAGATCATGGGTTTATAAGTGAGGAATACTATCTTCATTGGTATGAGGCCTTTTGGGGAAGCCCAAAGCAAAGCCATGAGAGCTTATGCTCAAAGTGGACAATATCATACCATTGTGGAGAGTCGTGATTCCTAACATACAGTTGCACGATGGCGCTTATGGCTCCAACCTGGGCCGAGTCGCTTTGTACTGCCCTTATCAAATATGGGTTCTGCTTCGGAGACAGCGACGGGCTTGTTGCTGTGAGGGAGATTATGGGAATTTCATACTTTCCTCCAAATTCCGCCAGGTATATCGCTTCTTCTTGTGAAGTTTGAGCTCCCATTATGACCTCTACTCCTTCTCTTAATAACTCCCACGCTGCCACAGACCATGATGAAAATTCCGTCAAACTAATTTAGAGAAATATCATAAATTTATAATAAAAAAGACTGATTTAAAGAAAGATCATTCGTTTATAATAAAAAAGAGCAAAAAAGAGTTCTGAAAACAGTTACCCGCAGATGCTACTCCGATGATGTCTCCGGCGTTCTTGAATAAAGGAATAATCCTGGTTTTGTACTGAGGATTTGCAGTATACAAATCGGAGAGTGCCAATTGGATGGAGGTGTTGCATAGTTTGCCCACAGTCGAGTTGGGATCAAGCAGCACACCCAGTTTAACGCCCTCGCCTCCGACCCAACAAAGCTCCGCCAACACAAACCACGCCGCGATACAGCTTCCGCCGCCCCATTTCTTCCCCGTTCCCATTCTCAGGCGACTACAACGGTTCTTTCTTTCACTGCTTTGCTCCACGTTCCCTCTTTAGAACCTCTTTAAACTCTGTTTCTTTAAATTTATAATTTTGAGTTTTTAAATTTATTTATTAGCATATTTTTTAAATTTTATAAATCTTTTATACTCAAAATTGAATAAGTCATACTTAATTTATCAGAGAAAGTTAAGAAACTTAAAAGACACTTATTTTTATTATACACAAATTTTAATTTTAAATTTTTATTATACTCGTAAGATTTTAATTAAATATATATATATATATTTTTTTTTACTTGTCACAACTATTTCATTCTTTCTTAAAATAATATATGGTTATTAGCCAAATTCGAAAAACAAAAAATTTTAATTTTAATTTTATTTCTAGAATTTTATTGAAATTATATTCCACGTGGCTATTATTATTATTATTTATTTAGAATAGTCTATTCATATTTTGAGAAATTAGGGTTTATTTATTATACATGTCATAGTCACATTTAAGAACGTGGAAATTAAGTAGTATTTTCCTCAAAAAAAAGTTTGGCATTCAAATAACTTAATTTTACACAGTTTAAGATTAAGATGGGAATTTAATGATAGAATTAATAGGAAATTCATAATTTATCCAAATTCCAGACTTGGATAAGTCGTTGTGGGATGACGTGGCACGTGAAGTCATTTGACGTAGCCCACAAGTCGCTACTAAAATTTCATACTTTTCGTGTCGGCCCCCTCCGCGTCCAAACCGCGTTGGAGAGACAAGATACTGGGCAGTAGACTGCGTAGTTGCGCGACTAGCCACAAAAAAACTTGGTGAAGAAGGAAAGTCTGCGGAGAAAAAATGGGGGTAGTTATTGCGACAGCGAATGAGGTGGGACAACAATTTCCTTCACTGCTGTTGTTTCCTTGTAATTCCCAAAAACAAATTATTGTTAATCACATGGTCTCCTCCCCTGTCCAAATCACAATTCCTCTAGATATTCTCTACTATAAGCGTAACCTTTAGTAGTTTTGTTTTAAACTTCTTCAAAAAGCCTCATTATCAATGAAGATAGTATTTCTCACTTGTAAACTCGTAATCTTTCGGTTTACTCAATAATTCTCACCAAAATTAATCAAGTTTTTAATATTATTATGTGGTCTTTTTTTTACTTTTTTTTTTTTAATTTTTTTTTTTTATTCCGGTCTGGATTATGTGAGCGCTAATTTCGTTTGGAAAAGAGCGGGACCATATAATTAGGGCGCGACTAAAATGCGCGCGATGCTTTTAGTTCGAAGCATCGGTCTCTGGACGTGAAGTGGGAGTGCTCTAGGGTTTACATTTCGTATCGAAGATTCTCCTCACTGCCAAAACAAATTCGGTAGCCATGGCGAGCACCAAAGTTCAGAGGATTATGACTCAACCGATTGTACGTGCGGAATCTCTTCATTTTTCTTCCTTCCTTGATTATACTTTGGGCTGCCTTTATCTATTTCTGCGTTTTACTGATAATTTCCGGATGTCTTTTTTTTTTTTTTTTTTTTTTTTTTTTTTTTTTTTTTTTTTTT